GAGGCTAAGCAGGGAAGCTAAGGGAGAGGAGGAGAGGAGAGGAGAAAAGTGCGACTGCCTTCGTCAAGAGCAAGAGCAGTTAGTTAACAGTTAAGATCAGGCCATTCAAAAATATCCTACTTCTTGCCAAAGCCACTCCTGGATTGTTTTGGCTGTATGTTTTTGATCATTGTCCATCAGTATTATGAAATTCAGCCCAATCAATTTGACTGCATTTAGCTGAAATAGGCAGACAGTATTTGGCTAATTCTGTCCAGACCACACCCCTTCTCATTACAGAGATGCACATCACCTAATATGCTTAATTGGTAGTAGGCTTTCGAGCCTATACAGCTTGGAGTAAGACAACACGCATGAAGAGGATGATGTGGACAAAATACTAATTTGCCTAATAATTCTGCACTCCCTGTAATCTTACATGTCAGTAGACAGAGCTGGCTGTCATCCCAGAAGTTAAAGTCTAAGTGTCGAAGCAAACTCTCGCACTGTCATGTTTTGGCAAAAAGCAGACCCAAAGAGCAGATTCAAATAATGTCTGGCAGGTTTAAAGTGTTTCTGTTTGACTTGTTTGTGGTTTGAAGGCAGTTTGTGGTAGAATTCACCATCATTACAAACTGGCATATGGGAACTCTGTTAGAGAGGAGACAAAGGATTAATTGGAGTTCATGACGAAGACAGTGATTAATAGTCTTACTTTTGTTAGGAGTGAGAGGAGCCTCGGAGGTAGTTATTGCACATATAAGTCCTTCCTATGAGAGATTACAGAAAGCTGGTGTTAGAGCTGGTAAGTAGAACTGAAGGTTTCCACAGGCAACAGGTTTCCAGATATTCAAGGGTTCTGTGATGGTGTGGAGCAGGTAACTAGGAGAAGTAAGACAAGACTGGGTTAGAACAAGCATGTACTTGCAAGCAGTGTTGGGGAGTAACGGAATACATGTACCGCCGTTACGTATTTAAAATACAAAATATGAGTAACTGTATTCCGTTACAGTTACCGTTTAAAAAGGTGGTATTCAGAATACAGTTACTTTGTTGAAATAAATGGATTACACTGCGGTACTTTCCTGTTTCATTATTGTCGCGGGTCAGGACTGTTTGGGTTTTGTTTGACAGCTACGTTCTGTTGTTCCAGGCGGCAGCGATTACGGTTGCCATGGTTACAGGGCGACGCTCTCTCTCTCTCTGCGACTGTGTGTTTCCTGGGTGAGAGAGCGCCTTTTCGTTGTTGTTGTTGTTGTGCTAAGCTAACAGGCAGAATGCTACAAGCATAGCTCTAAAGAATGTAGCATCATGGGCAGTGTAGTCCGTGTTGCAGGGAGAATGGACTGCCATACACGTTATGGGTCTGTGAGCGCGAGGAGGGAAAAAACGGGAGCTGGAAGCATGTAAATATAATAATAACCACTGCAGCCAAGAAGAGTGCCTGACGAGCCCAGTTGTAAGTAAGCTATTAAGACTCGACTGTACACCGTGTTCGTGTTTTCCTCCGAAAACAATAAGTTCCGTTGGAGCAGCCTTTCAACGCCTCTCTCTGTCTCTCGCAAGAAAAGTTGACCCACACAACAAAGTAAAGCTATTTTTCGGCTACGAGCCGACAGGGACCCCGCCGTATTAGTCAGAGGTCCCTTTACTACAGTTCGGAGTCGCGGACCTTCAGTAATAGTAATAAATCACACAGCAATAGTACATTCACGTTGTTGTAAAAAGCATGATAATATATTAAGTAATCCAAAGTATTCAGAATACGTTACTGTCATTGAGTAACGTAACGGAATACGTTACAGAATACATTTTGGGGCATGTATTCTGTATTCTGTAATGGAATACATTTTAAAAGTAACCTTCCTGTTAGGTGTGGCTGTGTGCAGACAGGAATAGGACCCAAGGTGCAGACTCCGGAGACAGAACTTAAACCAAAACAGCTTTAATGCTGAACCAAACATAACATAACTGGAAAAAGGTCAAAAATAAACTAACACCGGCGGATTGACAAAACACACAGCAAAGTAAACGGTAGATCGCGACACAGACACTAAGAAACACAGGGCTTAAATACACAGAGGGAGCAATCAGGAATGAATAACAGGAGGGAAACACAGCTGGGGCAAATCAGAACTGACGAGACAAAAGGAAGCGTAAACTGAACACACTGAGATAAGACAGAGACCTTCAAAGTAAAACAGGAAACACATAACACAGACTCACATGCAGGCACTACAGAGGGAACAGAGACGTGGGACCAGGGCAGACACAAACACTGACTGAACACGGGGATATAGGAACTTAGGATACACATAGACGCGAACTAGACAAGGGGATAAGGGAGACAGAGCAACTAAAGAAGACAGAGACCTAAGCCATAAGACAGAACTCAAAGAAACCAAAAACTAGACAGTATAAATAATATCATAAACTCAAAAACCCTGGGTCGACGACCCAGGCATCCTAACACTTCCCAACACTGCTTGCAAGTAACAGGTAACAGAGATGGCCTAATAGTCACCACATACTAACAACAATCTAGAAGAGAACTGTTGCAACTTCCAGCTTGATATACTCCACGACTAGGCAAGTGTAGGAAGGATTGTTTCATTTGAGAAACTCCACCCAGGAGCGGAGCAGCAGAGAGAAGCCAGCCCAGAAACTCCACCTGAGTTTTAAAGGCAAGGAGAAGTTAACATAAGAACATATTTCCAGCCAGTTGCCCTACAACACTCTCAAATCAAATGGAAAAAATGGCACTGCAGCACATCCGCGGACTTTGGAGTGTCCTCAACCATACATATTGTATGTATGTGTGTGCGTCTCTTGTTTACTTAAGAGCTGTGAGAACTAGTATGTTTGTGCACTATGAAATTATTTTAATATTTGTCAATCATTTGACAATAAAACAAAAAGAAGCAAAATGTTGCATATGTACTGTATGTGCAATACAAATGATCTAAATGTAAGAGTTTAAAAATGTTGTCTAAATGCAGAAGTTAAAGGCTTCAACACTGCCATGACATGCAGGAACTCAAACTGATGTGGTCATACTTTTAGTACATTTCCGTTTAGGTTTCTATTTTTACGGAGCAAAGCAGAGATGTGGAGCTTTCAAAACCTGCTGTTCACCATCTGTGGTAAGTTGTTTAGATGAGTAAATACATAAACAGACCAAAGGTAGATTTAGATTAAATATAAACATCTGTTTTTGCAGTAACGGGCAGAATACCACACCTTGTCCATCGTGTATACAGCACTAACATTGCTACTGTGAATGCTAACATAACAAATTAAACAGTGAAATATGTGTAATACTTTCTTTGCAGTTGCTCTGAGGTGTTTGATCAATGCAGTCGGGGTGATCCATGTGACTGGATACCTGGAGAGTGAGGTTAATGTCTCCTGCTCCTATGGTGAGGGTTACGAGTCTTATGAGAAGTATCTGTGTAAGAACAACTGTGGTGACAGTGATGTTCTTATTACAACTTCAAAACCAGTGAAAAACAAATACAGGATCCATGAAGACAAAACAGCACGAATCTTCACAATGACCATCTCTGATCTTCATTCGGCCGATGCTGGGAAATACTGGTGTGGAGTGACCATAACTGGAAAAGATATCTACATTGAAGTCAAGCTTAAATTAGTAAAAGGTAAATAAAGTCTTCTCCAAACAGCAACACACAAACATACACTTTATAATTGGTTCAGCTGTATTCGTTTTTTTCTTAAGATCTCAATCAGCAAGCTAAATATAAATGATCATATCTGTTCTGTGGCTTTAACACATTTACTGATGCCGTCTGCATTTTCGACAGACAGCTGCTGTGACACTGCGACCAAAGTTCAAAGCTATGAGGGATACTTTAAGTCTGTCAGTTGTCCGTATGAGTCACAGCATCAGAACAGTCTAAAGTACATCTGCAGAGGAAACCGGCCCTCCACATGTCTGCAGCAGGCACTGATCACCTCTGACACCAAACAAAATGGGCGATTCAGACTTGATGATGACAAAATGTCAGGAACATTCACAGTGACCATTAGCAGTTTAACCAAAAATGATTCAGGGTCATACCTCTGTGGTGTCCAAAGAAACTCTGACCTGGATGTTTTCTCTGCTGTTGAGCTGGAAGTCAAAGGTGAGAGGTCATTATAATAGCTCATTACACCAATCAAAAGAAAACCGCTTCTTCTAAAAAATGTCTTTAAGAAAGTTTAATATTTTTTGAAACGCAAATAGTTTTTCTTTCCATTTGACAGAGTGGTGCTGTGTCAAGTCAACTAAAATAAAAGGTACTGTAGGACATCCACTAACTTTGCTGTGTCCTTATCCTCCACAACATCGGGATAACAGGAAGTTCCTCTGTAAGGGAGAACAGCTCAACAGCTGCAAAGACATAACCAGTCAAAGCAGGTTTAAACTTGAAGGTAATGGTTCTTCCAGCTCTTTCTCTGTGGTGATCACAAAGCTGGAAGAAGCAGATGCTGGGACATACTGGTGTGGGTCAGACTCAGAGAGGAGGCCTGGAAACTACACCAAGATTCAGCTGTCAGTTGGTGAGATGAATGTGTCTTGTGTACATGAAAATAAAATGGTTAGAGCTGTAAATTACACCCTTTTCTCAGCCTTTCGCATCAATGTTTCATTTCATTGTGTCTTCTGCAGTGTGATGACTGAGTACACAGGCATAAAAATAGGACTGTTGAAAACCACATTTACCACTGCATACTTCCAGCCTCGCAGAGCTAATAGATGTTAAAGGAAATAATCATACGATGAACTAATTATTATTCTAACAAAATATTCTTTTTTCTCATGAAATATTACTATTTGCATATGTACATATGTACATATATATATATGAGAAAGACAGGCACTGCAACAGCTGACATGACCAGTCAAAACAGATTCACACTACAAGATAATGTTTCTTCCTGCTCTTTCTCTGTGATGTTCTGTGATAGTCACTAATGAACACGTTTAGATGAAAATAAAAATAAATAGTTGTAAGTTATGTCCTTTTTTCAGTCCACATAGACTGTGGATGGTGGTTTAGTTATTTGTGGTGAAGCAGTACAGAAAACTGCTTACCCCAATTTTTCATACAAAGCACTGAAGAAAGCAGAACTAAAGGGTTGTGCAGTGTTGCTGACTTATAGGTCTTCCAACCTCCCAGAAGTCATATTTAGCCATAATACTGAAATACCATTTGACGTTTTTGATCTTTATTTGTAAATTATCTAATCCTATCTGCTGAAACAAGACTTCTGTACAGCCACTTTAGTGCAATTTCTGATTGTGTACTTTGTGCTGTGAGCTAAATGCTAATGCTGAATATTAAAAGAAATTTTTAGAGTGCATACAATGCAGAAGAAAAAGAAAAAATAAATATTTCTAATCTGTGTATATAATTAGCTATTTTTTAAATGAAAGTGAAACTTGTCTCATAAGACAAATATTAGATTTACATATGAACAAGTAAACATGTTAAAATGAGAAAAATCAAAATAGAACCACTTTTTATATGTAAAACAGATTACGAGACATACACTGTAATTTTGATAAGACTTCAATTTAAATTTTGAATTTAAATCATTGTCAGTGTCACCATGTTTCTCGAATAAGCCATAGATGGTGAATATTCCACATGACTCATGGCATTCAGTGGACACTGACACTGAGGGGCACCTCAATGACAACTACATACACATTTAATTTTGTGTAATATACTAGGATATTTCTAATTAGTGCTATTTAGAATAGAATAGACTAGAATAGCCCTTGTCATTGTACATGTGTAGCGATCTTTTTGCATTTATTAGAGCTATTTTGTTATATTTTGTAACTTTGTATTATTTTGTTTAATATAGTTACAGTTAAAGTTCTTACTGTCTTGAAACAATTGTGACCACATAATTTCCTCTAAGATTGATACAATATTGTGATTCTGCTTCTTGTATTAAAATAAAGTCGCTAATGGCAGTAAGAGTATTGTTCTCCAACAGTCTTTCTCCAGCACACCAGCACTGTACCTTCCACAGTCGAAATGCCTGGAAAACCTTCAACACAAATTACCGGTAAACCTGTTAAAGATGTCTTTCAGTATGAACTGCTGTTGATTAAGATGTACCTACTCCAAAAGTAATGTTTAATTTTTGGAATGGAGTGAATGTAAGTCATTCAAAATGATCCTGAGAGTCAAAAACAGCTGTAGGTGAGCACACCAGAAATAAAGTAATTATGATAAAATGTAAAAATATTGATAAAAAGAAAATATGAGCCCACAGTTCTGCATTTATGTAGTTGAAAGTGTAATGTTTCTGTTTTGTTTCCTGCTTTTCAGATGCAGGACACTATGTGGGTTACACTGTTCCTCCCCTGCTGCTGCTACTGATATGCGTCTTTGCAGTTATAGTTTATAAGTGCAAACATCAGAAAGCAAAAGGTACATTTTGGATTCACTGGCATTCAAAAATGTACTCAAATGTGCATCTGTAAAGAGCATAACCATGTTTTACGCTTTGTGTTTTCAGAAGATGAAACTGTCATGAACAGAAATGCACAGAACGAAGATGCTTTAGAGGAAGTGATGCATGTGGCAGAAAATAAAGTAAGAAAACTAAAGTTCAAAGACTTAATAGTGTGCTGTAGCTATAACAAGCCTTATTATACCAAACTGGGCAACACAACTAACTGTACATATTATTTATTAATACAATTTGCACTTTTCTCTTACATTTTACTGTTTTTAATTTTTACTTTCTTTATTTTTATCACTGTTATTCCAAGCAACGTCCATAACATCATCATGTGTTGTTCATTGTTTGAATAGATTTATGAAAGTCAAGACGTTGTGATATACTCAAATAAGGAGACGTCCGAACTGCAGAGTGCCGGTAATGACTGTGAAGATTTAGGTGAAGATGAACCAGACTTAGAGAATGTCACAACTGAAGAAATCTACTGTAATGGAAATTTCCATAATGCCAATTGAAGATAAACATTGTGTGCATTTGAGGTCAGTCTTTGGCTCTCACCTGTATGGAGATCATCCTGTTTAATTTGTCTTTAACATTAACAGTTACACAGCTAATCTTTTCTGAAACTGTGGGAAACCTCAAATGCAAATGACTAACATCAATGTAACGTAAATTAATCTGCAAATTAAAATAAAATTTTAGTCATTCTTGTCTGTTTTTGCCCCATTTAAACATAAACAGTCACAAGTCAAGTTATTTTTATGATACGTTTATATTTGTTGCAATTAAACATTTCTGACAAAGGCAGTTAATTGATATGATTTTACAGATAAAAGGAAATACAGTGTTTATTCTAATTCCATACATTGGATGGAACCATCCGATGTATGTAACAGTGTAGCAGTTTTCACCCATGACGTACTTACATCGATATAAATAAATAAGCATATCTATGAAAATATTTCAACAGTGGAACTTTAGTGTAATCACAGTACTGTCATGCAAATCTTGGATTTATAATTAGTTTTAGTCTTTTTTTATATTATTGGTTTAAATTTTTGCACTTTTATAGAGTAATGCTGTGCGCCTGTGCCTTTAACTTTGTTGTTAACTCTGTACTATTTATATTCTTTATCCTGCGGCTGTAATATAATAATTTTCCTTGTTAAATCAATCAAGGGTATTAACGTTAAAAGCCCTGCTTATGCGAAGGCTGTGCAAACTTCTTTCACCACTTGGTGGCATATGTCAGCTACTTTTTGGGGAAAATGTATCTGAATATCAGGAACAGGACCACACCTCCACACATGCTCCATCCGAGTCTCTGTCTATAAATGACCCCTTCCCAGCACTACAAGCTGTTTATTCTTTTTTAATTCATTCAGTTATCATTAGTACATGGGGATCTGCCCGGCCTGAGTCACCACTGCAGCCTCAACTCTGCTCAAGCCATCTGCTACTAAAAATGAGGGTCTGGTCCCTGCTAGTGAAACAAATGTTAAAATGCCTTTGAAGGAAGGGCCAGAGGTGGCATAAGTACAGACATTCTGCACTTAAGTTGAAATACAGGTACTAGTCTTTAGAATACTCCAGTAAAGGTTGAAGCACTGATTCAACTTCTTTACTCGAGTATAAGTGAAAAGTACAGGCTCCGAAATGTACTCAAAGTAAAAAAAGTAAAATGTTGTTCTTTAGAGGATGTTTCTACCAACTATGTTTGTACAAACCTTGATGAACTTTGTGCTATATTAAAATAATAAAGACAGTAAAATGTTATTACATGAATAAAATTCAAAGTTTTAAGGGAATTTGGGGTAAAGGAAGTGAAACTGTAAATGTTCCATTGGTGACCCTTCCAGTAAATCTGCCCAGCATTAAGGCAATGAACCTTTAACTAAGGCTGACAAACAAGAAATGGTGAAAGAGAAAACTGAGAAACAACAATAACAACAGTGAGAAGGAGCCACCCTACTTGTGACCAGCCAAAAATTGCACAGTCAGAACGATGGTTCCTCCATTCACTTCTTTAATTTTTTAGCAAAGATGTTTACCAGACTTAAGTTATTGACTTTGTTCTAACACCTGTTTTTGAGGCCGCAAAGCTACGTTCTGTAGAGTCAAGGTGGAAAACTGAGGAGCAGGGAAAGAGAAAACCGGCAAAGCAGCGTGCCACCGGCAGTCTGTCCAGGTTCTGCCACAAGCCATTAAAACAAATGCCCCATGTTCATACAGGGTTAAGTGGTGTAACAGGGAACTCTAGTTCTTGTCCGGTCAAAGTTTTTTCCCTGCGTCAGGAGGATGGGATGGCTCGTCAGATGATTTGACTTTTCATAAAACTGAGAAGAAGAGTTTGGTAGCTGAAAAGTGATGCGTCTTTTGAATGTCACAATTGTTGGTATTTTTATTATCATGATCAATATTGTAGTTTTATTTATTGATTAGTGTTATGTATTCAGTTTGGTACATTTTGAAAGTGTTAAGGTTTATATGGCAGCATGGACAAAGCAACTCTCGGGGCCAGCTAGGACACAAGTGGCACGGGACCTGCTAGCACGGTCTCTCGCGGCTGGGACACGTAGGCTCAGGTGGTGTTGCGTCCTCACGCCCAGGTGCTGACGCGGCACTGGAGGTGGTGGTGAAGACCCATGCAGGGATGTTAACTGGTGATAGTCACAGTTTAACATGGGCAGCTTCCTCCTGCTTCCTAGAACAAAACATTCTCACATTATTTTGTGCAAAATAAGCAAACTTGTCATTGTAGAGCACGTGGAGCTGATTAGTGATCAAGAGAAATGCAGAAAAAGGAGTTTCACATTTGCAGTTTATGCAGATACATAGGTGTCAATAACATCTGATAGCAATGCGAAATATGCTGATACAAAAAATTGTTAATAAAGTTTATTTTTAAAGAAGGCCTGTACCCCAATGCAGGATTATGGCTCATACATGTAACTTTGGTGTTACATGGGTTTTGTATTGCCATGGTAACTAATGCTCAAAGCCTTTTAAGCAAATCCTGTATAGTATACAAATCTGGGCCAATTTTAATGCAATGAAAAATTTTTGAATATTGATCAATCATTGTCCTGCTTTCTCATATTAGATTGTAGTGCCTCTATGTGACAGGATAACAAAACCCTGCGTTAAATTTAACAACTGAATTAAAAATACATTTTCAGATTAAACCTCAGACATGATGCACACACTCAGTTAATCAGAGAAAAGCCTTTTCTTCCTTACCGGCTTAACAATTTTCACATAAAAAAAGAGTAAAGAGTATAAAAGAACGTGACCTAAATGCAGAAGTTAAAGGTTTTGGCATTGCCATGACATTCAGGAAATCAAACTGTGGGTGTGACATTTTCAGAATATTTCTTGTCAGGTTTCTATTTCTACAAAGCAAAGCAAAGATGGGGATCCTTCAAAACCTGCTATTCACCATCTGCAGTAAGTCGTTTAAATGAGTAGATAGTAAACAGATGAAGACCAAACGTAGATGTAGATTAATCTGTAAATAGTGCAGAGCAGAACACAATGCCTTCTGTTGATCTCAGCCCTTTGTTTATGCAGCAGTAACAATGCTATTATAAATGTTTATATGACAAAATAAACAATATTTTTTTATACTGTCTTTTCTTTACAGTCGCTCTGAGATGTGTTACCAGTGCAGTAGGGGTGATCCATGTGACTGGATATGTGGGGAGAGAGGTTAACGTTTCCTGCTCCTATGATGAGGGTTATGAGTCTTATGAGAAGTATCTGTGTAAGAACGACTGTGGTGACAGTGATGTTCTTGTTACAACATCGGAATCAAGGAAAAATAAATACAGGATCCATGATGACAAAACAGCACGAATCTTCACAACAACCATCTCTGATCTTCATTCTGAGGATGCTGGGAAATACTGGTGTGGGGTGACCAGAAATGGAAAAGATATCTACACTGAAGTCGAGCTGAAGTTAGCGCAAGGTGAATAAAATAATTCTTCTCAAAATGTAGTTATTTGAATTCAAGTCAAAATCATATATAAGAGACATTTGTGACTGTAAAGGGTAAAAGGTGACAACAGATAAAAACGTAACTGGCAAAAGATTATTTATTTTTTCTGTTGTAAATATGACCTGATAATACTGATGCGATAGATGGTTCAGTTTGGTTGATTTTTTCTTAACATCCCATACAGAAAATCTTGTTGCAGCAACCTAAATATAATCATCATATCTGTTCTGTGGCTGTAACACATTTTCTGATGCCGTCTGCATTTTCAACAGACAGCTGCTGTGACACTGTGACCAAAATTGAAAGTTATGAGGGATTCTCTGAGTCCATTGTTTGTCCATACGAGTCTCGGTACCAGAACAACCCGAAGTACATCTGCAGAGGAAATCGGCCCTCCACATGTCGTCAACAGGCACTGATCACCTCTGACAACAAACAAAATGGACGATTCAGACTTGACGATGACAAACTGTTAGGAACATTCACAGTAAACATTAGCAGTTTGACCAAAAATGATTCAGGGTCATACCTCTGTGGTGTCCAAAGAAACTCTGACCTGGATGTTTTCTCTGCTGTTGAGCTGAAGGTCAAAGGTGAGAGGCTATAATAATATTTAATTAAATCAGCTGAAAGGAAACACTTTCCTCTAAAAGAGTCTTTAATAGATTTGAATATTTTTCTCTTTCACTCTCCACAGAGTGGTGCTGTGTCAAGTCAATTAAAATAAAAGGTACTGTAGGACAGCCTCTATCTTTGCAGTGCCCTTATCCTCCACAACATCAGGACAAAGGGAAGTTCCTCTGCAAGGGAGAGCAGCTCAACAGCTGCAAAGACATAACCAATCAAAGCCGGTTCCAACTTGAAGGTAATGGTTCTTTCAGCTCTTTCTCTGTGGTGATCACAAAGCTGGAAGAAGCAGATGCTGGGACATACTGGTGTGGGTCAGACTCAGCGAGGAGGCCTGGAAACTACACCAAGATTCAGCTTTCAGTTGGTGAGATGAAAACATTTAAATGAAAATAAAATTAACAGAATTACATCTTTTTTTCAGTCCACATTAACTGTTTAAACATAGTCTGTGCATGCTGGTTCTATTGTTTGTGGTGTGAATTATTAGAAAACTGCCAACTAAACTGGAGGACTTTGATCAGATTTGGAGGCCACTCATTGAGTACCTGGAAACTATGAACAAATGAGAGCTAGTCTGTGGACTTTGCCATTGGTTAAAATAAGCTGATAGCACTCTGGGATAAGGGAAGGGTGTGGGGAGGAAGGTTTTTTTCTTCTTTACTTTTTGTTTTGTTTTTTCTGTTCGTTCGTTCGTTCGTTTGTTTTGACCACCCTTTTTGTTACTTTCCACTGTCTTGGTTGTGTGTTTTGTTTTTGTTGTTCTGGTTTGTTTTGGGGTTTTTTGTTTGCTTGTTTGCTTTGCCCCTTTCTTGATGACAAAACTGTAAAAAGGAAGCAACGTCAGCCTATGGGGCGATTTGTAATTGTTATTCGTGCTTCACAATAAAAATATTTGAAGAGAATTTAAAAAAAACAAACAAAACAAAAAAAAACCTGCCCCCTGTTTCACGTGAAGCTGTCTTCTTGCTGGCTTCAGTAGAGACACAGCCTCCCAGAAGTCCTATTTAGCCATATTATTAAAATACCAATGCCTAATGTAACAGTAACAAGCAATGTGACAACCAACCCCGGTCTACTGTAGATAAAAAAAAATAAACATGTAAAAATGATTAAAAATAAAAACAGGATCACTTTTATATGTATACATTATGAAACACCGGGGTAATTTGTGAAAAGTGTCAGAGTGACCCAAAATAACTGCAGCTCTACGGTTCTGATGGGGATGGCTGTCAGGACACTGAAACTATTCACACAACTGAAATAAGATTGATGTATTAAAATAAAGTTGCTAAGAGTATTTTTCTCCAACAGTCTTTCTCCAGCACACCAGCACTCTACCTTCTGCAGTGGAAACGCTTGGAAAAATGTCAACACAAATTCCCAGTAATCCTATTAAAAGTACAGTATATACAATAAGTATCTTTCAGTGTGTACTTCTGACGATCAGTGTTGTGAGTTATGGTTATTTTTTGGAAAGTAGTGAATGTAAGTCATACCAAAATGATCCCGAGTGTCACAACTGCTGTGGGTGTGCGCACTAAACCCCAAAAAGTATCCCCTAAGCTCACAGTTCTGTTGTGTGTCCCTGAAAGTGTGAATGTTTCAGGATGTTTATATTTTTACTCTGTTCTGTTTTTTCTTTCTGCTTTTCAGATGCAAGACACTATGTGGTTTACACTGTTCCTCCCCTGCTGCTGCTACTGATGTGTGTTTTTGCGGTTATAGTTCATAAGTGCAAACATCAGAAAGTAAAAGGTATATTTTGCATTCACATGCATGCAAAAATGTACTTAAATGTCCATGGAAAAAGAGGATAACCATGTTTTATGCTTTGTGTTTTCAGAAGATGAAGTTGTCATGAACAAAAATGCACAAAATGAAGACGCTTTAGAGGAAGTGACAGATGCAGCAAAAAATAACGTAAGAAAACTAAAGTCCAAAACCTTAAGAGTGTCCTCTATATATAACAAGCCTTATTATAAACAAATGGAATAATGCAACAAATTTATTTTATTGCTAGCTGCGATCAGTGGAGTACTGTGCAAAAGTCTTGAGCCACCCCGCAACTTCTGTGTATTTTGCTTCCCAACCAGTGTTGGTCAAGTTACTTGAAAAAAGTAATCAGTAACTAATTACTGGTTATTTTCCCAAAAAACGTAATCCCGTTACTTTACTGATTACTTATTTTCAAAAGTAATTAATTAATTAATTACTTAGTTACTTTTTAAAAACACGATTTACAACCTGAATAGGTGATAAAGCGATAGATCTTTCAGCCCAATTCTACTTTTTCTGCATAATCCATCATACAAAATGTAATCAAATGGAAAAGTCTCTTTTTAAAACTTGTTTTATTAGTTTTAATCTTTTAACTTTATGCATCAAGCAAAAATTTAATTATATGCAACATTCTCTGACTGGAAGAAATTAGTTTAACATTTAAACCTATTTTCTGCACATTCCAGCACATAAAATAAAATATTTTTTTGTGTTTACACTCAGTCTTTCAAATAGATGCAAGTAAAACACAGCAGAAAATAAATAAAATAAATAAAGTCAAAGACTCAGCGGTCCTGTTGCTCTATTTTCACCTGTAAAGCAAGAGTAGGGCAGGCGAAGTTTTGCCCTGGTGTAGGTGTGCCACAGCGGTCAGTGGAAGAATCCGCGAGTTTCTCTGTGAATTTCACAATACGTCGTTGCGCACTCGGTGCTTGCTTTGAAGTTTAGGGGTTTTTTTTCGCTGTTAAAAGAAGTTTTCTTCCCACTCACAAGGACACTAATGTTTTTGTCACTTTTTATGGAATCAAACTCAAAGTAAGGTCAGTAATTCCACACTTTAAACGCTGCACGCTCATACTCTGTTGTCACGAACGTCGCACTCGCTTACGTCACTGTCATGAGACATTCTCGCAAAAAAATCACGGTTTTAGTAATGCAGTAACGCAGCGTGCTTCCGGGAAAGTAACGGTAATCTAATTACCGTTTTTGCAATAATAATCCCTTACTTTACTCGTTACTTGAAAAAAGTAAATGGATTACAGTAACACGTTACTGCCCATCTCTGTTCCCAAGTATCCAGACTTTTGTCATTTTTTAAAGTTCTCCAGAATTTTTTTTGAACACTGGCTGCTTACTTCTTTTCAGTCCAGTTTTTGTGCCTGAGTATTTCAAGAAAAAGAATCTGTTTGTTGAGCCCCCTTGGCCCATTTGCTGCTTAAAAGGCCTCACAAAACATTTTTTTATGTTTAAGCCAAGAACTCACAATGAATTTCAATGTTCAACACAAACGTAGTATAAAATGATGAAGTAATAAAATTTCAAATTGTCATCATTACTATCACATCATAGTATTATGTAATGTATTTGTAACCATTATTGAATACAATGAATCAGAAGCAGGCAATAACTGTTAACATTTATCACGGATAGTGATTGGATTATAATAAACTTTGGTGCTCACCTTGAAATTGGAGGAACTGTATGAGCCAGAGGTGTTCAAAATGTTGGATTATCGTGTGTCAGTTAATGCACACACAGATACACCACACAAACTTTTATTATAATTCCGCTGAAGTCTTCATATTGAGTGCGCATAGATGTGGTTTTACTGTTGTATTCACTGCTGTAGATGACAAGACAATAATCTTAATTTGACAGTGGTGCTAACGTAGGAAAGATATTAACAACACATGATGATGTGTTGTTCATTGGTCTCTGAATAGATTCATGGAAATCAAGAAGTTGTGATGTGTAAGGAGGAGACGTCCAGACAACAGAGATGAACCAAACTATGAAAACAGAAGAAATCTACCTAAATAAAAATGTAAATAAAAATGTCCATGAAGCCAATAACAGATAAACAGAACATGCATTTGGGGTCAAACAGTGGATCTCACCTGTATAGAGATTATCCTGTTGAATTTTTTAAGGAAAAGGCAGGTCAGGGCCTCTTATACATGTAATAAAAGGTCAGGAGCGAAATGGAGTGGTCAGGACAGGTTTTAGCTGGGAGACATGGAAAAAATTCACAGTGTTTTCCAGCATGTTCATGTTCTAGGGTAACTTTTACTGGGCAGAGACAAGTTTAATCAAAGATGGACAAAGATGATTTCAGCAGCAAGGGAATCACTAATGTACTTTTCCATTACTTCTCTTTCAGGTCTTGACAACTTGTACAGTCGGCTAGTGAGCACAGTTGCCCCGGGTAATAGGTTGATAATATAACTGTAAGACGGAGAAGTAGAGTTTCATTAGAAAGCAGAGTTGGGCTTATCCCCTTGTTTTACACAGTATTACTGTTCAGGTAACCGTGCAAGTACCTGTAGTGGCTTTAGTTGCTGTTTTTTTCCATCCTGAAGTCAACAACCATCTCTTTTGTTTTGCTGACAGTCACAAGGAAGTAATTTTTACTTGCTCTGTTTCAAGTCAATCACCTGGAAATCACAGACTCTGAAAATGTGGCAGTTTATGGTAAAATAGGGCAAAACAACCAAGTTTCATTTTTCTTTGCTGATTTATTCACTTGACACTCATGTTTACATTTGACATTTGAGGCTTTTCACAGAATGAGAAAATCAGTGCAGATTATGTTGTTAACACTAAGCAATAAACATGAGAATAGAGACAACAGCAAAGGAGTAAGAAGTTGTTGTGTTCTGTAATGTTTATATCATATTGCACCACTAGAGGGTGGTGTTGCAAAATAAGAGTAAAGCGGAGCCGGAAGAAGTTTAGAAGAGAGAGATAGAATACAGTTAGATGGCTAGCTGATAACTGATGTGTGTCACTGCTATCCCTTCGATGTTAGTCTGTGCTGAATTCATTAAAGAGCACTGTTCTTCATGAGGACTGGTTATTACCGGCCACCATTACATTTTGGCGACGAGTAACCCCTGCGTGGTTTTTTTTCTGCTTTGAGTTTTTTGCCGAGTCATCATGGCTGCAAACGTCCATCCGCCGCCGATGTTTTTGCCTTGCCCTGGAGACCCTGCTTTGCCATTCAACATGTGGATGCGTATGTTCAACAATTATTTGCTTGTGATCAATGCAACAGGGAATGCTTGGCCTGAAGCACGAAGAAGAGCTACTTTACTTCACTGCTTAGGAACTGAGGGACAAAGGATTTTCTACTCACTGCCAAATACAGGTGACACTTTCGCCTCTGCTGTTACTGCCCTAGAACAATACTTTTCACCCAAGGTAAATGTTGTTGTGGAAAGACATGCTTTCAGACAGCGAACACAAGCTTCACATGAGACTGTTATCCAGTACGTGGCCAGCTTGCGTGACCTTGCTTCTAAATGTGAGTTTGATGACAGGACAGAAGAAATGATCCGTGATCAGCTAGTTGAACATGTGTCTAGCCCCAGCATAAGAGAAAGACTCTTGCTGGAACCTGATTTGACACTAGATAAAGCTGTTACACTGGCAACACAAATGGAATCTGCAGTTCAACAAGCTAAATCCATAGCTGCAGACAGTAGTACCCCAGTCCAAGCTGTGCAGTCTCACTCACACTCCATGCAGAGGAAACATAAGTACAATGCTCACCCTGCAAAGCCATCTCATGCAACAAAAACATCTAAGAACTGTTTTAGATGTGGTTCAAACAGTCATTTAGCAACTTTCGTCAGTGTCCTGCTGCCAAAGCTACTTGTAAACTGTGTCATAAAATTGGACATTTTGCTCGTGTCTGCTGCTCATCCAAGACAAGAGATGTACGGGAAGTCCATTTACCAAAACTCACAGTCCTTTACTTAACAGATCCTTCTCATGCATCAAAAGGATTGCAATGCAGCATAAATGTGAGAACACCTACGTCATCAGCTAAGGACATTGAACTGATTGTGGACACAGGTTCTGCAGTTTCTATCCTGCCTAACCACATCTACGAAGAGCACTTCAGTGGTACACCACTAAAACCACCTGACCTTCAACTAGTTACATACACGAAGAAAACAATCCCTGTGTTAGGCTGCCTGCAAGTCACAGTGAGCAGAGGAAATGCATCTGCCTCAGCTGTGTTCTTTGTTGTAAGGAAAGGAACTCCTCTTCTTGGAAGAGATCTGATGGAAGCGCTGAATGTCAGCATTGCAGGCAATACTGTTCTACCTCCATGTACTGATCCTACTGCTTCTGTGATGTCTACAAATCCATCACCTGCTTCTTGCATCCCTGCTGCCCCAGATATTGGCTGTGTGCGTGCCTTTGTGCATAAAGTGAAAGTTGACCCAACAGTCAAACCTGTGCGTCAGAAGCTGCGACGTCTCCCGTTTGCTGTGAGGGCTTCAGTTTCAGCAGAACTGGATCGTTTACTCAAAGCTGGTGTCATTGAACGGATTGATGCATCACCATGGGTATCCCCAATTGTTGTCACAGGACGGAAAACTGGTGGAATAAGGCTGTGTGCAGACCTCCGTGAACCAAACAAAGCTGTGATCACTGATTGCTACCCCTTACCACATGTAGATGAATTGTTTGCCAGCTTACAGGGTGCAAAAATATTTTCTACAATTGATCTTGCAAATGCATACTACCAGCTGCCCCTGCATGAAGATAGCAGAGATTTGACAGCATTCATTACACATGATGGACTCTTCAGATTCTGTAGAGTACCTTATGGACTGGCCTCTGCCCCCTCAGCTTTTCAGAAAATGATGGCTGAAATCCTTAAAGACCTCCCAGGTGTCCAAAACTACCTGGATGACCTTATTGTCTACAGTAAAAGTGCAGCTGAGCATGACCAAAACCTTAGCACTGTCCTGCAGAAGCTCAAAGATGCTGGACTTGTGCTTAACGAAAACAAATGCCATTTTAGGAAGACATCGCTACGCTTCCTAGGTCATGTTGTCACTGCTGATGGCATTCTTCCTGATGAGGAGCATATTGATGCTGTTCTGAGAGCCCCTCCCCCATCTGATGCTGTTGCTCTAAGATCCTTCCTGGGCTTGGTGTCATGGTACTCCAAGTTCTTGCCAAACTTTGCAACTGTTGTAGCCCCTATGCGTGCCTGTGCTAACGACAAGAACACCTTCACATGGACTTTAGATGCACAAGCGAGCTTTGAAGAAGTAAAAAAACTCCTGGTGAATAGTCCTGCACTGGCACTGTTTGACCCTGCCTTGCGTGTCGTGATCTCTACTGATGCAAGTGACTATGGGCTTGGTGCTGTATTTGCTCAAGTGCAACCTGATGGCACAGAAAAACCTGTGGCGTTTGCTTCCCGCACACTGTCTGCAACAGAACAAAAGTACTCAACTGTTGAAAAAGAAGCTTATGCTTGTGTGTGGGCTGCAGAGAAATGGAGAACATATTTGTGGGGCCGACGTTTTACTCTGCGGACAGACCACCAAGCTCTGACAACACTGCTGAGCACCAAAGGGATTAATAGGGCTGGAATGCGCATCGCCCGCTGGTCTGCCCGCCTCCTGTGTTTTGACTATGATGTTATTTACCGCCCAGGTTCTCAGAACTATACAGCTGACTGTCTCTCTCGCCTGCCCCTGCCTGTTTCTTCCCATCCTACATCGGATGCAGATCATGAAATGGTAGCCCAAGTTTCTGCTGCCATGTCCTCTCTTCCAGTTGCGGACTTTGACTCTGCCTGTTCAACTTGCCCTGAACTGGTTGCTTTGCGTTCACAAATACAAAGCGGCTGGCCTGCCTCAATCAAAGCACTTGATGTCACGCTTGCACCTTACTACAAAATCCGTAATGAACTTTCAACCCTAAGGGATTATGTTCTCAGAGGCTCAAGGCTCATTGCACCACTTTCAGTGAGACCTAAACTCATTGCGCTGGCACATGAAAGTCACCAAGGGATTGTGCGCACTAAACAAAGACTACGAGACCTCTACTGGTGGCCAAAAATGGACTCACAAGTCCAGTCTGTCATAACCTCATGCCTCCTTTGCCAGTCCAATGACAAAACTGCACATACTAATCCTGCTCCTCTCCAACCCGTCCCACTGCCTGATGGACCGTGGAAAAAACTTGGTCTTGACATTGTTGGGCCTTTTGATACTGCAATACCTGCTTGTAGGTATGTCATAACATTGACTGACTACTACTCCAAATGGCCTGAGCTTGCCTTTTCTCCTTCTGCTACTACTGATGATGTCATTCAGTTCCTCTCATCTGTCTTTAGTCGTCATGGCAACCCAGAGAACATCGTGACTGACAATGGTACACAGTTCACCTCTGTAATGTTCACCTCATTCCTCCAGAATAGAGGCATCTCCCACAGCAGAACATCTGTCTACTACCCAGCTTCAAACGGAGCAATCGAACGGTTTCATCGTGCCCTCCGCACCTGTATCCAGACAGCAATCCAGCAGTCAAAACCATGGAAGGCGACTGTGCTGGATTGGCTTCAAGTTTACCGTGCAACACAGCATGCAACTACTTCCCTCTCTCCCTATGAACTCCTGTATGGCAGGAAGATGCGTACTAAACTGGATGTCCTCCCTTTGCCTCCTGCTGTGTCTCCACTGGATGACGTTGCACGTCACTCTGTTCAGAAATATCAGTTGAAAATGCAACGTTACACTGATGGTAGGCGTCACGCACAGAAACCTTCTTTTCTACCAGGAGAGAGTGTGAGGATAAGGAAACCCCACCATGTCCCTAAAGGACATCCCAGATTTACCCCTCCTGTAACAGTAACAAAAGCCAAAGGCTCGAATGCCTTCTTGCTGAGTGATGGCAAGGTTTGGAATGCCACTCATCTAGCACGTTGTCGCCCTGTGACTGAAAAGAACGCTGACACTGCTAGGCTGCACCACACCCAGACTGGCTCACCTACTGCCAGAAGACTGCCACGCGTCAAGTACAAGCCTCGTTGGCACAAAGACTATATTGTACCATAATAGGTTGCTTGAAAAGGACATTAGAGAAATGTCATTACTTGTTCTATTTTGG